AGTGCCCGGTCCAATACTGAGAGAATATTGACCGGCAACAGAGCATTTTATTGGTTGATTTTAGTTATTGGCCCTCTAACTGCCTGAGTCGTGTAATAATAAGCATAATTACAAAAGTAAGTGGAAAATACACTTACTGTCAGTAACACTTGGTAATGTAGGTACGGAGGTATCTGTGCTTTGACGCTTCCCCGCTGATCTTTCACTGAAATATTTTTCAGGATGAGCAACAAAGTCTGGCTTATGAATGACACCAACATCCTGAAGGTCTGACGTCTCTAAAGACTGGATCGTGAAAAACAGAAAGCTTTACTATCAATAACTTGGAGTCGATGATGAATTTGTGGCTGCCGTTCTGCCCACGTTTTGTCCGCCATTTTCTGATGAAATTTTTCAAACCGCTCTAGTTTGTCCGTCCGCTCACTTTTTGTCCGTCATTTTCGAATTAAACATTTCAAATTGTTCTAGTATGTTTGCATTAACCAGTATGGTACTTCATCCCTAAAGTCTAATGCTTCATAAAATCGGGACTGGGAAAGGTCACCAGAGTAATGTCCTATTGGCACATGCGACAGTTTCAGGACTTTTCTTTCACAGGTCAAGTTTTCCTGTTATTAAAACTGTTATATAGTGACACCAGTAGAATTGGAGAATAACATTACATATCAATTCAAAAACCCTTATTTCAAGTATTAACCATTCAAATAACATACCGCATAGGGTCCGGCTGGAGCTTGTCCCGTCTTCTCCCAATTCAGATATGGAAGATCAGGAATAACTTGAGGCTGTCGTCTTTCTCGTTTATCGATTCTCTTCTCCTGATAGGCCTTACCTAAACAAGCAAAACCACTTGGTCTATTAATCAACCTGGTTTTGGTCATTCAAAGATCAGCAGTTTACTGAGAAGATTGAAAAATTAAGAATCAAAACCAAATTTGAAGATTGAATGAGTCTCCGAAAAACCACAACAAGACAAAAAACTTTTTTCAATAACCTGCACGACGCGTATCTCTGACCGCGGGAAGACTGAGACGAGTTGGGTGAGGTTAATCAGGAGTCTGGCACTAAAAATAATAGCCCCTCATTTTCAGTGATAGAACCCCGGCCCTGCAGACCTCTCGCGGAGCCTCGTTGCTCAAGGCCTAGTAATTTCTTCTAGACGAAGAAACACTCGTGCCAATGCACTAATTATGAGGGCCTCATCGCAGTTAATTTTTTCGATTGGTTTCACTCTTTTCGGATTTCATAAGAAGAACCCCATCAATCACTTATACATTTATGGTTAAGTCCACAAGCCCTAAGATGCAGAATGGTTTTCGGAATTGGAATTTCGTTGTAAAACAAGCAAAAATAAGTCTCAGTGAAGTTAAAAGGTGAGAAATTAAAGGTAAGAACTGAAGTTAGAACGACAGCCTACCTAATATGGTTTGTTCCCAAGTAGAAACTCTAAACTCTGCGTCGAAGCCTTCATCAGCAAAAAGTTGCACATCATCTGTTTTGCCTTCCTCTTCAGCTAGCTCGTCTTCGTCGGAGTTATCGGACTCGGCCTATTTCAAGCGCAGAGCTCAATAAGTTTCATATGTTTACTTTAGTAACAAATTTATAAAAGTGAAGTGTTCATTAGGCATCCAATCTATGTCTTAAAATGATTTTAAGTTTTGCAAGAAAACATATAAACAAATACATTTACGAATCTTTCAATCTTTTGCGTGTTAAATAGTGCATAACGGTACATTATAATTTTGTTCAACGAGACATAAAATCGTACCACTGACAAAAGGCATTTGATTTCAAGTTCATCATTTTCTTATTCATTCAGGAACGTCGGAACTTGAAAATTCAATTAGCTAAATAAATAAACAACAATTTCAAGACATTATGAAAAGTTACATAAAGGGACGACTCCTTAGCTGGCGAATCACAAACCTGTTCAGCCTGTTTAGCTTGCTCAGCTTCTCGTTCTTCTATGGAGATTGGCTCAATCTTCCAATGCTCTTCCTAACGGGAAGACAGGCATAACACAAAAAAAGAATAATTAATAAATAAAAAGTAAAGTGCCTTCTTTAAAGCACTGAACAGCATGCCTTAAATCAATACACGCTAAACAAAAGAATCCTAACTCACGTAAGTTAAACTGTTCACGCGCCATGGGTGAAAAAAAACCTTTATCATATCTGTCAGTTAGTACGTCCTCTATTTCACTGTACGGCCCTTCACATTAAAAAGTTTTTTGAAATGACTCTCCTCTATTTGTACCCAGAGATATAATATCTATCTTATTGACCTCGTTTTTTTCAGTCTGTACTATAAGTTCCAAATGCTAGTTTATTGTTTGTTTGTTTGTTTGTTTGTTTTTTACTGCTCGGATTTACGGCCCGCACGCTTAGCACTTGGTCATCAATCCGCTCGGAGCGGAAGAACTCGGACCGTAACCAACAGTATTTAGAAAGCGGCATATTTGGTCCGTGGAAAACGTGTTCAGCCTGCGCAGCTTACAATTTTGCGAGCGATTTAAGGCATTGAGGGGTGAAAAGAGACTTAAATCAAAATGATAGAAAAAAAGCTGCTCGTTTCGCGGCTCCTCTGCCGTTATTTTCATCGAGCGCCCTAGATAAAAAAATCTCTTTGCTGAACCGCAAGTCAAAATCATCACGCTTAAAACGATCGTCCAGTTCCATGAATGTCAATGTATCTCTATTGCACAAGGAAATCGTGAAAACGAGGTTTTAAGAAACGTCTTACCTGTCCGAATATTCCAATATAGCGGCCTTCCACATCCCATAATGCAACAGCACAGTCACTTGACGCTGTAAGTACCAGCAGCCTCTCTGAGCGAGTGAACAGTTGAATGCTGTTGATGGTGTCCGTGTGAGGTTGAAACTGTTTGAGGAGGGCTGCAATGGGATAGGTAAGAAAGAAGTTTCTTTAAGACGATAGGGATCATATTCTCCGGCCTGTTGTCCAATATTCTGTTGAGAACGTTCCCTTCATTGTTAAAAAACTTCAAAAATAAAGAATAACTTACGTGGTGGGTTGTCGTTCTCAATCACAGAAGCGATACAATACTCCGAGATGTCCCAGACTTTAATGACTCCATCTGCGTCACCAGTTACCAAGTAAGTGTTTGTTTCATCCACAGTCATCGTTAGAAATCCAGCTGTAAAAAATGATCAACACCGAAGTTTGGTTAGTCCTGCTTGTCCTTGAAAAAAATTGGTCAACGATGCTTCCCTGGGCATCAGAGTTTGATGGTATTAAACAATTGAGCTAGCTATGGAGGCAATGTGGCAGGGTGTTTAGGGCGCTGGTCTTTCAATCTTGGGATCCCGGTTTCAAGCACTCCACCTTACCACACGATGGATTGGTTCTTGGCCATGACGAGTTCAACTCCTTTGCTACGCTTTGTCTATAGCCAATTGGTCAGCTTCGTGCCAGGTCGCATTTCTAAAGACTGCTTATTTACAATGTTTGTTTGCAAATCTGTCGGTATACAGAAAAGCTTAGAGATGCCAATCATGACGACATAACAAGTTACTTACCGTTTTCGTGAGCTAAAAACTGGCCGACACACAACGATTTATGTGAATTCCAAAATCGAACCTGTCGTAAAATAGCAAAAATACAAAATCGATTACTGTGCAGATCGTTCAAACTGTTATTATACTAAACAATGTAACGTAGTACGTGCTGCCCCGTTTAATGTTTGGTAAGGAGTGCTACAAAGACTACATAGCGATAATGTTCAGATTAGAGGTGCCTCAGTAGTTAAGCCTGAGCAACAAAAGGCCAGGATATGAAATAACTGATATTCAGTAGTCACACTTAATTGATAACTCTTGACCCCAATCCCTCTCAGCCACAGAAGGTCGGGGTATTAAATAACTGATATACTTGTGTCGCAGTCACACTTAATTGGCAAGTCTTGACCCCAATCCCTCTCAGCCACAGAGGGTCGGGATATTAAAGAACTGATATACTTGTGTCGCAGTCACACTTAATTGGCAACTCTTGACCCCAATCCCTCTCAGCCACAGAAGGTCGGGATATTTAATGACTGATATACTTGTGTTGCAGTCACACTTAATTGGCAACTCTAAACCCCAATCTCTCTCAATATTTATTCTTGCTGTGTGTTATATTTTCGCCAAAATAACTACAAATAGGAATACCTATACCACAACTTAAAAGCTACCCCATCCACAAGAAAATAGAGATTAAGTTCCTGAGAATGGATACGTTTTGGGCCCCACTCAGAGTCATTTTAACCCGAGCAGCGAGGCCAGGGTTAAAATGATTCTGAGAAAGGCCAAAACATACCTATACCCAAGAAAATAAACTCTTTTTCTGATAATATCACTTTGAAGAGCTTTCAGAAGATAAAACTGAAAAACAGACAAAATAGTCTGAAAAATCACGCGAGCGTGCGAACGGGCTACACAGCTAAAATCTCCATTTTAGCGCTAAAAATGCGCCACAATGCCCGACAAAGTATTTCTAAGGGGCAGTTACCTTTTATTAAACTTACCCATCCACTAGCGTTACAGGAAACTAAGTTTGCTCCAACACTTGACGCAGACATCGGTCTTTCATTGAGGAATATGAGTTTGGTAACTGCATAACCAAAGTCATCCTGCTGAAATTAACCAGAGTCAATTGGTTCATGTTTTCAGAATACTTTTATCAATAATCCCGTGGTATTTTGTTTGTTTAGTCCGAGAACATTTAGTTACAGTTCAATGAACAAACTACCAAGCCCTCATTGTTGGCGCTGCAAGACGCGCGCCTCTCCGCCGCTAGGAAGATTTGAGACGAGTCAGGAAGAGGTTTGCCTGGAGTCTGGCACTAATCATCAGGGCTGGACCCCAGCAGACCTCTCGCCGACTCGCTTTGTTCGAAGACTCATACTTTCCCAAGGGCAAAGGCATGCGCCGTAGCGCTAATAATGAGCGACACAACAAGGCCTAAGACTATTATAAACTTTACCTGCTCGCTTGGTGGCCGCTCAGACGATACAGAAGTCGCTGAGGTTAATGATGTCTCCGCTTCCACTGACCGCTGAGGGGGACTGGTAATGTCCAACTATGAAGAAGAAACAAGTAGTCAACACGTAAAGTTATTGGACATGGAATGTCACATCAAGTCAATCTACTAATTAATCGGTCAATCAGTATGGCACTTATTCAAGGCCCTTAATCAATCAATCAGTCATTCAGACAGTGGTCGGTTTACTAGTAGGTCAGTCAGTGGATCAGCAAATCATTCACCCATCAGACACTCACTATTAAGCCAGTCAGTCTTCCAGCAGGTCTGTAGGTTTGTTGGTCGGTCGCATAGAAAATGAGACACCCAAACAGACAAAAAAGCACACAGTAAAAATGAGTATGAGAGCGATCTTCGCAGTAATGTGCACTACTTATTATAAGCAGTAGTGAAAATAAGGCCTTATTTTCACTACTGCTTAAGTAGTGTTCATTACTGCGAAGATCGCTCTCATACCCATTTCTTTAACCGCAGTTCACATATATGATTTTCATATATTCACAAACATTGATACAGTAAAAAAGTTGCTATGGGTTGGTTTTAACCCTATGGGTTGGTTTTAACCCTATGGGTTGGTTTTAACCCTATGGGTTGGTTTTACACCCTATGGGTTGGTTTTAACCCTATGGGTTGGTTTTANTAAGCAGTAGTGAAAATAAGGCCTTATTTTCACTACTGCTTAAGTAGTGTTCATTACTGCGAAGATCGCTCTCATACCCATTTCTTTAACCGCAGTTCACATATATGATTTTCATATATTCACAAACATTGATACAGTAAAAAAGTTGCTATGGGTTGGTTTTAACCCTATGGGTTGGTTTTAACCCTATGGGTTGGTTTTACACCCTAACATGAGTATGTATATTCTCCATGTTGTTACCTCTACCTTTCCGAAGTTGATGACAACGATAATTTGTTCAACAATCGCGAGCTTCTTTAGTTGGTGATTATTTCCTTCGTGTCGTGACCTTAAAATGTGATTCAGCGGTGATATTGTAAGGAGACCTTTGATACTATTCACTCTTAAGCGTCAAAAGTATTTAAGTGGCATATGTACCGTTTTTCTCGCTCTTCTGGAAGACCGAGTACTTTTTCTTTTAGTGTGTGAAGAAAGGTGTCTGAAAGCTTGCTCTGAATTCAAATTCCAGAGTACAATTTCACCATCATAGCTTGCTGTAGCCAGTGTTGTTGGAGCACAAAACGCCTCGGACAAAACATCATCTTGGTGTTCCTGGGGAAAGATATGACCAATGCTTTCAAATGCAGGTAAAAGAGGTTTGCATCACAAAACATTGTTCTGTGTTTATTATCACTTAGAAAAGTAAACTAATTACCAGTCTTCCTTTCCATTCTGAAGGGTAGACATAAAAGGAGTTCAGCTGATTGTCTCTGAAGACAGAGATGGTCCTGTAACAAGAAAACACTGTTTCGTTTGAATGGTTGCTGGAGTCAGGGTAGGCCGCTTCACGACGATGACAGAGCACTAAATGATACGAAAAATCTGAACATCTTCAGTCTAATGATGAAAGGTAGTGTGATTTCTACAACATTATACCGTTGGAGATCCAGGAAGGGGGGGGGGGGTAAGAGGCACAGGGAGACGAGGGCAAACCCTCTCCACCCATTCGACCAATGGAGTTTTTAAATAATTTGGTAATATCAACTAAGTTGAAATTGTAAATTGGCCACTGTAAAGAGTTAAAAAGCTAAAAAGAGTTAAAGTTAAGTGTCAGGACCTTTTATGTTTCTACTAAAAATGATGTATTTAAGATTCACTTGTCTTGAAATATTTTTTGGGCCTTCCTAAACCCTAGGCATAGGGTTTTGGACCTCACTATAGAAAATCCTCAGATCCACCCCAGTTAAAGTAGAGCCAAATGTGTTGAATGCATATCAGCTATTCTCTCCTACCTGTCCCACCCAACCACAATAATGATCCTCTTTAAACAAAGTACTTGACTGATCTCTGCTGGATCTCCATTACCAGCCATTAAAATATGGTGACAGTGGCCATTGAAATCCCAGATCTGATAGAATAATAATAATAATAATAATAATAATAATAATAATAATAATAATAACAATAATAAAATAAATAAACAAAATAAAGATATCATTGAATCATTAAGAAGATCATAGAGATATCAAGCTGTCCTGTCCTGATCACCTACTTCATTCATACAAATGATTAAATAAATGAAAGAATGAATGAATACCCTAACATGGTGTTTGTTAATATTCCAACTAGCAGGAGGCAGACTAGTTGGCTAAAAGGCTGATAGTTTCTAAAGAAACAGTTTGGCGCTGCATCGGTGGGGGTAACGAAATAATTTGATTATATCAACAAAGTTGAAATGGTAAATTGGCCACCATTACGGTTATAAAAGCTGACGTTTGGAGCATTAGCTCTTCCTCTATTCACTCCAACAAAGGGCTTACACTCGAAATGTCAGCTTTTATAACTGTAACGGTGGCCAATTTACCATTTCAACTTTGTTGATATATTCAAATTATTTAGTTAGCTAAATTACAGCCAAGAAGTTGATCTCGGTGTAACCAAGAACAAATCAAGTAATTTGAAGGGAGGAGGACTTGAACCTGGGACCACCAGATTACAAGCCAAGCCAAGCCCAGCCCAGCCCAGCACAGCACAGCACAGCCCAGCACAGCCCAGCCCAGCCCAGCCCAGCCTAGCACAG